GCATAAAATAACGGGGAAAAACAGATTTTATGACAGGATTTTTTATTTTTTTAAAGATGTTTTAAATTTTGGGACAATATAGTCTGATAAAGAGTACATTAATTTACATGTTTAAGCCCGAATGATTTGACATTCAAATATGACTTCCCTACGACTTTAATATAAGAATCGAGTCTGAATTGAAAAATCTGTGTAGCAGAGCCTTACTTACAAAGGGAGCTCACACACGCTAGGTTGTTGACGTGTGATCACTTTATTTCATGGTGACACCTTATCCTGAAAGCTAAGAATGTGTTGATTGTAGAAAGTTCAAGAAGGATGTCTATTTTTCACACAATACTTTCATTTAGAGCTCTACTACGCTTATTAAATTATTTTTCTGTTTGGAAACCAACCCATTAATGAAGGAATATTCAAAATCATATTTCACATAAAAAAACATAAACAACACTAATTACGATGCAGAAAACTATGAAATGCACTGAAAAGGAAGAATAGAGCAGATGTGCATCAAATGGCTGTTAATCACCTGGGCTATCACATTATATGTACATCAGCATTTCAGTGCTGAAGCATGTTCCGGATTGAGAGAAGCCTGGAAGAGCTATTTAACCCACAGGAATGGAGCATAATGAGGACCAAATGGCAAGGCTTAAGCATAACGAGCAGCAGCCACTTTATAGCAACACTGACATTATAACAAACAGCATTAGATGATGGGGGGGAAACAAAAGCTTTCACAGATGTTGCTAAGACGCACACGCTTTTCAAACACTGTCAAAGTCACAAGACAGCACAGCCAGGAAACAAACTGTGTGCCGTTGAGTTTTTATATTTCCCAGTGAAAACAAGCCTCTCTGCATAAAACCCCTTAACTGAGATGGGTGGGAACATGTTCCTGAGCCGACACTCACAGGTTTAAGGGAGGTTCTTTGGGAGCTAATTTGTAGGTGTGAGCGTTGAACTGGGTCTATTGTGCTGCCAGCTGCAGTGTTAACGCCAACATAGAGCTGCTTCTGTTGGAGGAGCTGGGAAAGAAAGATCTGCTTTATGCTGCAGAAACAACTTCCTCTGGGAGTGAGGGAACTTGTGAGCACGTGACTGCAGCCGACGCTGGCTTTGGAGTCAGGAGGGGGATTCAGATAGGATTAAACATTTTACATTTCAGGCTTTTTAATTCTTTTCCTGCCCTTCTACACAACAATTAATGATACGCTCTCTTTCCACAAGGGCACATGATGCATGCTGAGCTGATGAGTTAATGAGATCCATGCCACGGCCTTTTACAGTTATAAAAAACTGTCTTTTTTTTACATTTATAGAACTGTAACTTGCTAAAGAAAAGATGCATTCTCCTTGGAGAGAAGCAAATGTGTTAATCCCCTCTTTCAGAATTTAGCTTCTTTGGCCTTTTGTTTGAAATCAAAGCCTGCAGAGCCTCAAACCCCATTTCATCCATCACTCACTGTCGGCTGTGTCCTAACCCTCAGCATCCCGGCGAACACTGGCAGGCAGCTGATAAACACTGCCAACACATCGTTGTTCACTGCTGTTAACAAAGGGGGATGTAGATCCAAATACGGTGAGGACGTTTGGAGTGCTCAACGCTGCAGAAAGATGCAACGCTGAGAGATACATGCATCTCAACAACAACCAAAGGCTTCACACCGACGTTCAGCAGCAGCAGCCGCGTGACAGCGGGAACCGCCGCTTGGTCTTTCCCCAGCAGCGGAGCAGAGCTGCTGGCGTCAAAAAAAAAAAAAAAGATGCTTGGTTGATGTCTGGGGCCCTCAGCCTCAGGGTGCTGGTAAATAAAGCTGAGCTCTGACTGAGGGAGAAACGGCCCCCGTTATACATAGGAAATATTCCCTATAGGCGACGCTGCAGAGGCAAACAGAAATACATTCCTGCTGTTCGACATGAGTGAACCTGGTGTTTGGAGCGCAGCCAGCAGAGCATACAGACGCTGCTGCCAAATCAAACTGGATTTTCGCTTATTTGAAAGTGTACAGCGCTTTGCAGAGGTTTTCATTATTTCACATCTTGTCACAACAACTCACTTGATGTATACAATACTTCAGCATAAAGCTGTTCATAACTGAAGTGGAAGGAATACGAAAGGGTTTTTATTTTTGCAAAATGAGTTTTTAGAAGTGTGCAATATTAAGCCAATTTTAAGCAATATAAAAAACCATCCATACTCTGGCCTCAGGAATCATGTAATTAGTTAATACGGTAAAAAATAGTCTGAATTAGTATAATTTTGTTTTATTTTTTAATGGTGGCCTCACAGGTTTTTTAAAGACCATGAGTGCAGACAGGATGTTTGGTCAGCAGACGTGGGGAAAAAGGAGCTCTGGTTAAATAAAAAGAAAATTAGGACCTTATTTCTCTACATACTAAAAACTATGAAAAACGAGTATAAAGCATCACCCTTAACCACCTCATCAACATGGTGGTGGCAGCATTATGATATAGGGATGTTTTATGTCAAATCTCATTGTCCTTTCTGTACATAGTTATATTCTAGAGAAGAAGTTCCTAAACATTTTTACCCCTGACCCCAAATTAAAAATGCAGTAGATTGGTGACGCCCTAAAAATAAATTTTTATGACTTCATGATTTCTTTTTTTTTATACAAATAAAAGATATTATCTATATTTTTAAATACAACTAATTTATGAATGATATTTAATTATTTTTTTCAATTAAGTTCATTTAAATAGTGCAAATTCACAACACTTATCATCTTAAGGCACTTTACAGTCCACCAGATCATCCAGTCAGATTAATTCAAAGTTTTCTATCTAAGGAAAACCAGTCAGAATTAAAACATATATTTTACATTTATTTAAATGGTGCATCTATTGATCTATTGATATTTTGGCCTCAGGGATCAGAATCAATGTGAAAACCACATCACAACAAAGTCTGTCATTTAAAATCCTACTAAAAACTGCAGTTTGTGTTAAGATATTGGAAGAAAAAAATGACAAAAAATGTAAATAATATCAAACCTTATGGAAGATTTTTTAACAGTCTGGTTAAAGTAATAAGGCAGCTTAATAAAGCAGTATTTGTCTCATATGTGGACCTGCTGAATAGAAATGTCCTGCAGGCTATAATCCATGTTACAGACCTTTCTAAAGATGGTGTCATACTCTGGCTCTGCACTCAGGAGGCTTTCAATGTCACTGCCAGAATCTCTGTGAGTGGATGACGGGCAGCTGGTGGAACTGCTGGTTCTGCTGGGCAAACTGGGAAAGGCTGGAGATGTTGAGGATTCTGAAACACACAAGGACAAAGGATCAACATTTTTTGGTCAGTTGAGAAGAAAATGTTGGAACTAAGTCAGGGAATCAACCATCAGCAGTCAGACATTCAGTTCTGTAAATGTCAAAAACTTGAGGCAAAACTGAAGTCAGAGAGAAAAAAATAAAATAAACTAAAATGCTCAGAGCAACAGAACATCCAAACAGTTTTTAAACTACCAGTCTAGTTTTCATGAACCTTTTAGGTCAGAGACCATTTTAGTTCATAAAAAAGTCACAATGTAGAAACAGTCATGCTTACAGTCGCTACCCGCTCTCACACTTCTACATTTAGATAAACTCATCACTTTAAATAGCTTAAACTCAATGGTAAAGTAAATTATTTTAATTTGAACCATTGCATATATTAGCTGCGACATATGAATCAAGATGCTATGACTGAAAAAATTTGATTGACAGGTGACCGTTGATATATGATTGGCCGA